GTATCTGTATCTGTATCTGTATCTGTATCTGTATCTGTATCTGTATCTGTATCTATGTTACCTCTGTCATTTCATTCTTGTGTAGGCTAGTGTAGTTTATTATTATGTTTTTTGGTTTTCCACTTCTGTTTACTTTGGATCTAACAATTATTCTATTGAACTCTTGTAACCAAACTTTCAGATCATAGACTCTGATCTATCCTAACTCATGTTTATCCTGAGCTGGTTCTGTTTCTTCGTATGTATCGGAATCTTCAATCCCAGCTCAGCATGCTCAACACCCAGACTACAGCTCAATCAAGCGTGACTGCAGACAATTGTTGTTGTTGTTGTTGTTTGACTACAACTATTGCATATCGTAATTGCCAAAGCATTTGGCTGGGTACACATAGTTTGTACCTTTGCTTTTGCTCATGTCGCGCCACAAATTGTGCCTTTGGCTCATCGTAGATACCGTTACTAATCGTTACTGCTGTTGTTGTTGTTGTCATTGCTGAATTGGCTTGCAACACTTGGTGGCTGCTGCTGCTGCTGCTGCAAGCATAATTTATGCCAGTGTTACATTTGCCTGCAACGACCTTGACCAGCCAGGCAAATTGTTGAATTTTTGTCTTTTTTTTACAATTTTTTTTTTTTTGCTATTTTTCTTTTGGCGCTTTGGCGCTTGCAACGGAAATTCACACTCGCCAATTTAATTGTGCAGTTTTTTATTTGTAATCCGTGGAAAACAGTTGCAATTCTCGTTATCTTAATAGACATATATATTAAGGCTGAGAATATTGTATCATATGCAGCAAAAAACTAGCTGAACTTTGGTTAACAAGATGTTAAAAACCTAACTTATTTGCTTGTTGAAGTTTGAATACACTGTCGATAAATTTGAGATTTTTTAGTCAACTGAGGGCATTTTATTTTTTGTATGCACAGGAGTTCAAATAAAATAAATAAGTTCTACAGACTTTTAGGAAACAGATAAGCTTCATAAATCAATGTTTGTTTAAATGAAACGATATTTCATCAACACAAAGTTTTAATTAATTTCATCAAGATGTTTACACAGCGTGAGATAGATTTTTGATACTAATAAAATTTAAATTAATATCAAGTCTATCAACTATTTTATTACCCTTTCGCCGCAATTATTAAACTCTCAGCTAGTCTATAGCAAGGTTTGTGACAACAAGCGACACTTGGCGCCCCTTGCGTTCCGCACCGTCCCTCAACGTCAGTGCTCGCTGTTAGGATTGAGTGTGCAGCGATGCCTGCATTTGGCTGTGATATTTAGCTTGGCAAACTGGAGCTACACTAGCTACAAAAAGTTCACGAACGCGACATTCAAGGTGCTCCACTCGGCTGGAGGGGAGCTCATTAGAATGCCGCTGCAATTGACAGGCAACAAGCGACAAGTGCGATTGGAGTGTGCAGCTCGACGACGCCAAATGTCAAATGGAGGCAGCCTCCCCCGCTCACCCACTCACCCACTCCCCCACTCAGCTACTCACCCACTCTGTCTTTAGCAACGAGATTAATCAGGCTGCAATTGAATATGAAAATATTTGCACAACAATTTACCTAAGGCTTGAGGCCTGGTCAGCTCGCTTGACCCACAGCGAACACACCCGAAACTCATTTTATCTCAACCAGGAAATATTGCATCTCTTGCGCTCTAAAAGTGCAAAAGTAAAACAGGCTTTGCTGCATGCTGCAATCTGGCTGCTTGCAAGCCATTCGCTTTCGTTTTAGTGGGTTAGTAGTGCAGACGTTGCGCATGCTCAAAAAATATATAAAATAAAATTAAATAATTTCAATGTTACTGCTATGAAAACAATTTGCACACATCCGCTGGCCAGCTAAAAATGTCGTAGTTGATGGACAGAGCTGACCTTAGCACCGGCTGGCAGCACGAACTGCCAAAAGACTTTGCCCACCTGTTGCTGCGGCTGCTGCTGCTGCTGTTGCTGTTGCTGTTGCTGGGGCTCTTGCTTTATTAAGCATACGCCGCAGTGTCCCCAGCCGAGCGCTGCGTGTCAATGCAATTACGTATCGAATGAAACGACTCGAAATTGCAAATATTTCCAAATGCACTTTTCATATTATCTCTAAGCGAGCAATCCACTAACAAAGTGCAGCTGCTGGCTTGAAAAATATAGCATAGTAAGAGTGCTAGAGCTGGGTATAAGCGACTAAATGATACCCTGTGAGTTGAGGAAGAGAGAGGAGGGGAGAGAGAGAGAGAGAGAGAGTGACAGAAAGATAAATTGAGAACAGAACAGATCATCGATAGGAGGAGAAGACATACGCCATACATGATATAACTTAAGAGATGTATGTATATATGTATAAATTAATGTAGTCACCAAAAACTGTGGAAATTTGAAAAGAAATAAATAATTTTGGTCCATAAACATACAAACTGTGTTCTTATTTAACTGGGTTTATTTAGTGGGAATTAATATTCAAATATCAACGGCTATAAATGTGCTCCATATCAAATATAATTGCATAACTTAGGGAGACTGTTATTGTGGCCGTTGGGGTCAAAATCTGAGCGGCAAATTTAAAAAGTACCAGGCGAACATAGATGAGTAGCAGAATGAAATAGGTAAAATTTTATTTAACAGAATTATGATATCAGCTCTGTTAAATAACAGCATAGTAACAGTGCACTGTTGATGTACTGTTAACGAACATTTTTCACCCTACTTCTCATTTCTGTGGGCCTGGTACTTCACCAAAATGACTATAGAAATTCTGGAAGTACCAGGCGACCAGGAATGAGTAGGACGGTGAAAACTGTTATAAAACAGCGCATTAACAGTATCATGCTATGATGCTGTTACATAGCAGTCCATTTACAGTGAGTGCTATGTTAATGCAATGCTAACGAACCTTTTGCACCCTACTTCTCATTTCTGTGCGCCTGGTAATTCACCAAAATTGCTGTAGAGTTTCTGGAAGTACCAGGCGAACAGGAATGAGTAGGACGGTTAAAAGTGTTAGTTAACAGTGTAACATTCTCTCACTGTTGATTCTCTGTTGTTTAACATTAACAACACTGTTTAATAAGAGAGTGAGCGTTACTGAGCACTTTTTGCTAAAATTTAATTTGAAGTCCCCCCTACTTCTGATTTCTGTTCGCCTGTTACTTTACCAAAATTTTCGTTAAAATTTTTGCTCTCAGCGGCAGCAAGAGCCGATCGCTGCAAAGATTAAAGATATGGCGGATATATACACGCCCACAGGGGGCGTGTCATGTCACAAAAGTTGATAACTCATGCAGTTTAAGAGCGAAAATGGGATGTGAGTGAGTACTCTGCAGTCGGTAAGGCCCGACTTCAGCGATCTTACTTACTCTGTGTCTTTTTTGCGCAATCTCCTAAACTCTCTGCTAGCTTTCGGCCAACTCTTGTCTGACTAACTAACCAACCAACTGACTATTCGACTGACTGACCGTTTGACTGCGGCGCTGACTGACTGACACCTGAGCGAACTGTTCGAGTTGGCTGCCGTCAGGACAGCTCCCATTTGTATTGTTGTCGGGCGGCGGTTTTAATGTTCGGCCGCTCGGCTTGAATAGCATTTACAACTTTAGTCAATCCACATGCAACTGAAAATCTGTTCGAACAATATGTATGTACACATGTATATATGACACCCAGATTGATAGATAGTCAGTTAAGTAGATATGTGTATTCATTATTTTCGTCTGGCATTTGCAATAAGTAAGTCGAAACGGTTTGTGTTTTAGGCCAGTCAATGCGAGAGTCGCTTACTGAATGTTGCTTGATTGTCACATACCCTTCAGAAGGATTGAAATTATTCAGAGTGACTATATTAAATAAGGTGAGGCAATGCATAGGCGCTGCATATTGCATTCATGTTAATGTTATGTGTAGAAAATGTGCCTTAATGTTAACCAGATGGATATACCTCTCAGCACCTCAACTTGCAGGCTAGGCAAATCCAATTAATATAGAACTCACACTAGAGCCTCGCATCTGGTAGGTAGATGACGCGCTGGCGATTTCAATTAGGCCTGTAACCGAATATTTGTAGTCTTCCCATCATATAATTTATTCGCTTGACACACGCAAGAGGTTCGCGGCTGGCAAAGCGTGTTGATTACGTCTTCTATCATTTCCATATCTCTCCAAGTCCCTGAGATTGAATCATCACTGCCGAAACTCTTACTCGTATCAACTTATGCTATAACACCGGACGTTCTGTAGGCCTAAATCTTCGTAACGTTACCTGCTAAGAGTGTTTGCATAAGACACAAGCGAATCTATCTATCTGTCTATAGAGGTGAACAAAATTAAAATTATTCAAAAATTAGTTTCCATGGCCAATATATGTATAACACTCTTTTCATTTAAAGCAATTATTATATACTTTAAGCTGATTTCGACTGCTCTAAGCTGATCTATAGCTAACATACTCCACCAAATTTCCACTCTAATTGCATAATAATCTATATATATATACAGATTCAAATTAAATTCCAATTAGCAGTTTTTATAGATATTTATAAACAGGATGGCTTCCACATGTTTCGATCAAATCGTTATCTTCGAGCTGATTTCCGTATTTTGTCGGTGTTTTTATTATTTGTTGTCAGAATTCCTAGATAATTCTCGACCTTCGAGGCAATTAGTTCGAGCGAAATGACAAACAAAGTGTAAAACGTTGACCAATTCGCATACGAGTTAAATACAAAATGCTCGCAGAGGTGACGTCGAACCAATGTACTGAGCGTTAATTGCTCCACTTGGCTTTAATTAAAAGCCAACTTAGGTTCAAGAAAAAAAAATGGCAAGTAAGCAGTCTGGCAGCAGCAACTGGTTGGTGTAACACACAGATTAAGCGATCTATATAGATATATCAGTGTGTTCATTGTTATGCAAGCCAGGTGAGCGCGCTAACCAGAATTGTCGCAAGACTGTCGCCTGGAAGCCGAGTTGAGATTGTTTGTGTGGGTTGGCCATAAGGCGTACATTACCCCCAATAGAGCCCGGATATATTGGAGCCAAAGGAATTCCATTGGAGCAGACCTGAACAGTAATTGTCGTGAGTGTGTCTGGCTCCAAAATAGAAATCGACAACAAAGAAAATCTATTAAAAAGCACTTTTGGCATGGCTCAAGAATATTATTTGTAAACAAAATATGATAGAGACAGATAGGGAGACAGAGAGACAGAGAGAGAGAGAGAGAGAGAGAGAGAGAGAGAGAAACTGGAATTATATGTCGCCAGCTTGCAATGGTTATTCATTAATCACAAAATCGCTGACAAATGGTCATAACGGCGACAGCTCACAGTTGTTAGAATGGTGTTGTATGGGGCAAACAGTTTGCAATGATTATTACAAAAGCGGAACTCGCCAGAGATAGACAAACACACATAGAAAGAGAGGGAGAGAGAGGGAGAGAGAGAGGGAGACAAACACCAAAACTTATAGAGAGTGAGAGCAGCGCAAAAGATCTGTTCAGCCCCATTGTCTATGTGGGCAGACTCTGTCTTGGCGTTTGTCTTGGCTGTGCAGATTAACATAACAGGAAATTACAATAATGCTCACTTTTAATGCGAAACGTACTTGGCTTTATTATTTGCTAAATACCCTAGAGACATTTTGAATGGCTGTTTACATGCAATTCATGCCATAAAGTGTGTTAGTTGAGCGAGGTATACAAAATGCATGGCTCCAGGCGTTTAGAGCTTACTGTTCTCAGAACTATTCTATGTGAACTGAGCTGTCATGCTCCGTTTCACTATTCAATGAAATGCAGCTGCCTGAGAGTCTATTAATACATGTTTTACAATGCTACATGAGATGAAAATTGTATTAGATCTTTAGAAAATGTTTCAGCTATGTGATTTTTCGTTTGTCTTCTTTGGTTCCCTTAGCAAATTTGGTATAGCTGCAAAGCTTTATATAAGCTACACTTCATAAAACTTTAAAATGTTGCCTTGAGACCTACAATTATCGATCTTCTTGTTTTTCAAACATTTGCTCGGCATTTTTCTGCGCCCTCTACGTGATTCGCAAGCCAAACGCCAAGCAGATTCTATGTCAATTACCTTTCTTCATAGTTTATGGCCTTCAAATGACGATCCTCTGTTTCATCTCTGGAATCAACAACGAACAACTCGCACAGACGACAAGTCATAAAAACCACTTTGGCAATTTGGCACTGACCATCGCCACGCACTGAACTTGAGCCACTTGCTGTAACCGTTGCGTGTTGCGTGGCAGTGACAATTGCGTAGTGGTTGGCTGGTGGTGCGTGCCGCCAGACAAACAAGCAGACAAACATGAGCCACGAACAGTTTTCACGGTCAACTTGGCTAGAGGAAAAACTGACTGAAAAGCAAAGACATATAAATGTTGTAGTTGTTGCTGCTGCAGCTGCTGTAGTTGTTGTAGTTGTTGTTGGGTGTGTTGCAAGTGGCAGACGCTGGCTAAGTGGCAAACCCACTGGCCAAGTGCCCAACTGGCCAACTGCTGCGACAGCTGACGTCGGCCAACGATTCGCTTTTGACTGGTTTTCGTTGTAGTTTTTTTTTAATGGGCTGAACGGAAAAACTGTAAACGAAAGCAATGTGGTTGCTGTTGTTGCTGCTGTTGTGCTTATTGTTGCTGTTTGTCTGGCTGTTGAATCAGCTGCAGCAGCCCGTCAACCCGCCTGCACCACTCGGACATTCGGGTGGGTCGCCGTCGGCAGGCTTTTCTTAACGATGCAAAAAAAGTTATTATTATTGTATTTTCTGCACTTTTGGAGTTTTGAATTTGGATCTAGCATAGCCGAGTGTGTGAGTGTGTGTGCGTGTGTGTGTGTGTGTCAGCTTTTGTGTATAAAAGCTGTCGCGAATTCACAGCTAGCAACAGTAACCAGCGACGAGTCAACACAGACCCACAGTTCATTTCTAAAGCCCAGTAACTAACTCCCAGGATTAGCTAAAATGTACAAGTTGGTAAGTGTCTAAGCCAAGTCGAGGACTGCGGCAATCGCGTAACTCCCTAAACTACTTTGCGCTTTCAGGTGGTGTTGTCTGCTCTGCTCGCTGTGGCCGCTGCCCGTCCCGGCTACTTGGAGGCAGGTCCTCTGCTGCATAGCTATGCCGCGCCAGCGATCATCCATGAGCCCGCCCTGGCCAGCGTTGGCCACATTGTCAAGTCCATTCCGACCGCTGTCTCGCATCAGAGCATCAGCCAGGTGCACAGCTCGGCGCAGATTGTCCAGCCGATTGTGACGCCCGTTGTGAAGACCTATGCCGCGCCCATCATCAAGACCTATGCCGCTCCAGCTCTGCACACCAGCATCCTGTCGCCCTCCTGGGCCTCTCACGGCTGGGCGTCCTCCTGGTAGACAGCTTCCACATCGGCTCTGATCGGAGTGCTGCTTCAGCAGATGAGTCATCTCTTGGCCGAAGCCACGCAGCAACAATTTCTATCGCATCTTCTACTTAGTGTTTCCCCATTCCCCCCTTCCGACTGATGTAAATAAAAGTTCATATTTTCATAATCAAATCTTCTGTGTTGTTTGTATGATATATAAAATATAAATATTACTTTTGGTTTAGTTTATGGCTCTTGTGGATCTTTTGGAATGTGTTTCCAATTGAACGAGTCTGATATAAATTTTCCATTTTTATTTAAAATATGTAGCTCAACTCATCTTAGAGCAGCTCTTCATGAATAAGTTTTAAGTTGTGTTACTCCATGTATCTCTGATGTAAATATATATCTTTGCAACAATACCATAAAACTCTTAGATAAGTTTCAATATTTAGATTCATTTTGCCTCTATGACTTTTTGAATAATATACAATTTACAGATAATATAAATATTTAATATGTTTTTACTTTACTTTTTATCATGTGCACATTTTAGGACAGGCCAGCGATCGTCATAGAGAGAGGTATAACTAGTTAACATAGTTATAGCTAAGCATAAACTATTTAACTACCGTGCGAATTGTGATATAAATTTTTAAAGTGTCTACTTAATTTACTCATTTCAACTGAAATAATTAAGTACGGACAACAACACTTGATAAACTTGGCAAAGAGTATACAACTGTGAGATACCCTATAAATAGATGTTAAGTGTTAGCGTTAGACACACTCAAGCACTTATGGATGAGCTTGTCTTAGGACAGAATCAATAGATGATGACTTTTGAAGTAATAGTAGAACTGAAGTAATGAAGAGTAGAGTCATTAATAGTTACTATGATATATTTCCATGGATTTACCCAGGAATTACACTCACATTCATATGGTATATATAATTGCACCCTTATCTAGGTAAAGTCGATGTTTTTTATGAGCTACCCTCGCACATCTGAGTTCAATATTCTGTAGTTTAATTGTAAACTACGTAGTTTTCAAATTGAAAGTCAAATAAGAATTGTTTACTCTCAGAAACTTCATCACCAAACTATTCCACATTAGGCAACAGCTATTCTCAGACTTCACTTTTTAACGCTTGCACCTCAATAAACCACATTAATGATGACAAGAAAAAAAATAATCATAGCATACCCCTTACAATTCGAGAGTTTATAGCTAGGTAAAGCTGCCACTGAACGTCTCGCTGCGCACGTAGCTGAAAGCCAAATGGAAACCGTAATTGAAACTGAAATTGAAGTTGAAGTCCAAACCTTGCGCCGCTGACCCTGAAAGAACCGAGACGCACTTAAAGTGCAAGTAATGCAACTGAGGGCAGGAGCTAATGAAGGGCCAGTGGAGCAGTTGGCCAATGGTCGACACGTAAACTGGTTGGCTAGCTTCGCCAATTGTTGTGCTCGGCTCTGTGGCTGAGCAGAGTTGAGCCGTCCACCGACGCTAATTGCTTATTGAATGTCAGTGAGAATTGAATCTGATATGGTCTCTTTTTTATTTTAATGTTTTTCGTTGTTGTGCGTGTGTATGAAGGCCGTGCGTGGAGTACCGACTGCTGCTGCTATATAAACACCGCCTGCAGTTGGCATATCACACACAGTTCTCGCTAGAAACTCAAGCCCAACAGTCAATACAGACCTCACTTAAACCCAAAAATCATTTCAATCATGTTCAAGTTGGTGGTATTGTCTGCTCTGCTCGCCGTAGCTGCTGCTCGTCCCGGTAATCTGTATGAGTCGCCGTTGGTCTACACCGCACCCGCCGCGACCATCGTCCAGGAGCCCGTCCTGGCCAAGGTTGGCGCCGTTGTGAAGAGTGTGCCCACCTCTGTCTCCCACCAGAGCCAGTCGGTGGTGCACAGCTCCGCTCATGTCGTCGAGGATATCGTCGCTCCAGTCGTCAAGTCAACGCCCGTGGTCAGCTATGCCGCCGCTGCTCCAGTGGTGCACACCTCCTATGCTGCTGCTCCAGTCGTGCACACCACATATGCCGCTGCTGCTCCAGTGGTGCACCAAGCGTATGTCGCTGCACCAGTTGCCAAAATCGCTGCTGCCTCGCCGCTGACCTACACCGCCACCGGAGTGTGGTAAGGAAGCCCCACTGCACCACTCAGAGACCGATAGTGGAACGTGCATTTTGTTGGACGGTTTTGTGATACGAATTTGAATAAATAAATAAATATTTTTGCCTTGAATATCGATTGAGTCTCATTTACTATGCAATCTCCTTCATTGTGTCCTTGCTACAGTTCCTTGGCCTTTGGCTGGGTCTTTACCCTGTGGTGCACTTCCTGTGAACTAGCGGTGCCTGGCTGTGAGTAATCAGTCGTATACGTAATGCGAGCTGTAAACAAGTGGCGATAAATAGTTGTTGATTACCCAACTACGATATACTTGTACTCTCCTCAAATGTTGCTTAGCATTTGGAATAGATGAGCACATAATATATATTTGCAATATTCTATATTCTTAGTCTAATAAATGCTAAATATATTTGCATCAGTTATCATCTATATTATCTGTTTTATATATTACTCAAAATCTTCTAGAACAGTTTCCAGCAAATCAGAAGTCTTCAATTTCAATTTACAGTTTCCTAATTCTGCTCAAATTTGTTGTGATTGGCTCTGCCTGCTGCAATAGTATTAGTGAGAGGCGACAGTAAAACTATTATCTGTTTGAGTTTGCGTCCTAGAGACAGAAGGAGAGAGGGAGACAAAGATATGTGTAGCTGAATGCAGCTTCTGATGTTGCTGAGAAAGAGCGAGATAGCTATTTAGGCTTTATGAAAAGGCTTCATATGATTTAAGTGGACAAAGAGAACGTAACTTGAAAAGGCGAAAGTCAAAAACGAAAATTGAATTTACTTTTAAATTGAATACAGCTCATTATACATATATACATAACTGATATTGATGATCTGCTTCTTAAATCTTATTCAGCTGAATACATTCGACTTTCCACTTTTCATATACATAACTATGGCTACAATATACTAGATTTGATTATATAAAAGTAAATCTCAACCTCAACCAACACATCTAAATTCCTGGAACGCGCCTCTAGTTTCCATATACCATTCACTGCAAGAGCTAGACATATACAATAGTTTTGCATGTGCTACCGGGTATATAAATTGTGTTGGTTGTATCCTGCCCCAGCGCAGGTTCAAGGCCAATGACGTCATGCGCTGGCCAATGAACCTATAATGCGAGCAGAAATAGTAAAACAGAAAGTGCATCGCAAGCTGCACCTAACTGGCTGCAAAGCCTGCTGTTGACAGCCTAAGTGACAGCTTTCAAGAGCAGCAGCTACACTGCACAAAATAGCGGTTGTTGTGAATAACACGCAATAGAGCACTGTTAATAGGGTAGGGAGAATTCAGTTAAACAACTTTAAAAACAACTACTAAATGATTGACAAATATTAAACTTCTGGGAGGGAATAGCTGAGGGGTAAATTGTTCTCTATTTATGCCGTAGCATATGTATTTAATATATGCATATAAAATGTTGTTACAGCGAATGCAAATCTGTCAATTTATTTTTTTTTAGGAATGCCCAGATTTACTTTGCCAAAGGTTATGTACTGAACGGGCTCATTGATATAATGCGAGTTCTGCTCTATGAAGGTCTTCACCCCGCTGGGTATAATGCTGCTCAGCTTCTCCCACACACTGCGCCTAAATATCGGATGCTCCCTTGTGGAGGAGCGGTCGTCCACCACTGCGCCTAGGCTAGCTGCATTGCTCGGTGGCAACATCAGCGCAATGCTCACGAGCTATATTTGGAGGGAATATCCTTTTGATTGCACTTCAAGGACACTTTCGATATATCGCTCACCAGGCTGCCCAAGAGAATCTTCATGTCTGTGATCTATTTGAAATCCAACTGCAGGCGAGCGAAAGCTTTTCACTCGTCTTTTATAGCACTCCAGCCACGCACCCTGGCCACGGGGCTGCCCAGCTGAGTTAGCCAGAAATTGTCTGTTGCATTCGCATTGGCAATACTACGGAAAAGTGTCGCAGCTCCATTTACAAAGTCAACAAATGCCAATGATCGCAAAACCGATGGACATCGAGCGAAGAAAACAAAATTCATCGTTCCGGGGCCAAATAGTTTGACTAATGAGCCACGCTTTGTAAATGAAAATAAGAGTGGGTTGGGTCGCTCGGCTCGGCGAGTGAGCTGACAAAAATAGCTGTCTGAGTGCGGTGCGTAGCTGGAATTGGCCGCGAATTATAATCTGGTTTATGCGAGACAAGAATCCGTTCAGGCACGTACGTGCTGCTACTTATTGTGTACTCACTGTGTGTGTGCGTGCGTGTGTGTGTGCGTGCGCCTTGAAAGTGAAGTTCAAGTATAAAAGCCAGCGACAATTCGTCAACGGGCACAGTCCAACCTACGACACAAGTCAAAGAACCAGACAACCACAGCCAGCCAAAATGTTCAAATTGGTAAGCACAGCGCCGGGTGGCTCACGGTGGCTCAGTGGTGCAGTACTCAATTATCTTGTTTCGTTTTCAACAGTTCGTTCTCGCCGCTCTGCTCGCCGTCGCTGCCGCTCGTCCCGGTCACTTGGCCGCCGCACCACAGGTCTACAGCGCACCCACTGCCATCGTCCAGGAGCCCGCCCTGGCCAAGATTGGCGCCGTCGTGAAGAGCGTGCCCACCGCCGTCTCCCACCAGAGCGTCACCCAGGTGCACAGCACTCCCGTCGTTGAGGATGTGGTTGCGCCCGTTGTGAAGACCACCGTGCATGCCGCCCCCGTGACCACCCTGGCTGCTGCTGCCCCAGTGGCCACCTATGCGGCCAGCTATCCAGCAGTTGCTTCAGTGTCCACCTACTCTGCCCTGCCCGCCACATACGCCGCTGCCCATGTGCCATACCTGAAGAGCGTGGCGCCACTGGCCTACTCAGCACCGCTGGCCTATTCGGCACCACTGCTGCACCACGCACCCCTGACCTACGCAGCCAGCGCCTGGTAAGAGGGTAAGAGAGAACGAAAGATTTTGAAAGAAGTTGTTGACTTGTGTTCCACCGAAAGAAAATCAAATACAAAATTCAAATCCGAATCCAAGCAAACTTATTTATTACAGGGTATACGCGGTGTACGGGGTATACGCTCTACTTGAGATAGATGCTGGGGTAGCTGAGCGCACCGGCACTCCAGCCGGGACTGAGCCATTCGCTGCTGTAGCCCAATGGGCTGCCGGCATAGGCTGTATAGGTGGTTGGGTGGTGCTCGTAGATGGGTCGCAGGTACGGGCGCTTCTCGTGCACCACCGTCGAGCTCTGATGCGAGATGGCGGCAGGCAGCGCGTAGTGCTCATAGCCCAGCACTGTGGGCGCATACTCGATCGCCTCGTAGCTGGGCAAATAGCTGGGCCGGGCCTGGCCGAGAGCCACACAAGCCGCACACAACACGAACAGCTGCAAGAGAATCCACCAATTAGTTTGTTATCCAAGCGAGACGGGGTATCCATAGTCTTACAGTTTTGAACATCTTTATTCTCTTGGCCTGTGATCACTGAGAGGCGCAATTTGCTGAACTGTGGCTCCAGCTGAAGATGCGCCACAATTTTATAGCCGAAAAACGTCGGTGGTTTCTTTACGTTAGAATTGGCACAGACAATCGAGCCATCAGCAAGATTTTCCCAAGCCCGACGGCTCATTAGTGACCCATTTGGGCGTAACTGAGCGACTAAGTGCTTCCACTCAAGGCAGCCCTTGACGAATTCGCCTCCGTTCCGCTAAGCGATTGTTGCATTTACTTTTGCCCAGCTCCTGCCGCCAGTCGCCAGTGGAGCCACCCACCCACGCCCAGAGCTAAACTATGTCCCAATTCCAGGCATAATTCAATTGCTACACCATTGTCTGCTCTGTGTCTGGCTACTGGCCACTGCACCACAATTGCCCTGGCCAGAGTGCCATACAAGGAGCCACTGCACCACGCTCCACTTACCCGTGCCGCGTTCCACAATGAAGTCAGCATAGCGCGCATTAGCATATAATGCCAACTCTTTGTGCTGTCGTATTTCCCTCTTCTAATATTCCATGGCACAATAACTTTTCCTGGCTGCCGCCACTCGCACCGCCAACACGAATTATGACCCACCAGCCGCTGTGCTTCACCTCTGGCTAGAGATGCCAGTTTGGGGCGTGATTTAATAGCTTTCGTTTACTGTTCCATTGTTTGACATTTGGTTTATGGATAGATAATTTTTAAAGTAGATCGGGCTGGGCTTTAATACAAGGTAAAGATAGTATTTTATATGTAAAGTTATAGAATTGCTCGTTAATTGCTCATTAATTGTATATGATATATGGTATATAT